CACCCTCAACTCGATAATTTCTCACGTACAAACCGAAGGAAGAAAGTCGTTCTAATCAATGAATATGTTGAGAGATGTAACCTAGCTTCAGGAGGCTCTAGGCAATTCTTGCCCGATGCATAGAAGGAGTGAGGTTCCCCTTGTGACATGAGTCACAAAAACTCATCTTGATTTTCATTGTCGAGTGGCTGCCTCTGAGCCTTTGCTTCAATCTCCAATTAATAATGCATACGGGGGCCACCTATTAATATATTGCAGGTTAAGAATATGTAGTTGCATATATCCATTATATTAAATATGACCAAAACATGCGAAATATTTATAAGTGTCATGTACATTGTAACTAAGCACCATATACAGGGCTTATATATGAACCATATATAGTTCCATATTCATTAAGAATGGCCAAAACATGATATGGTCTGGACGGCTTCCAAATACAGTCTCCCATATGTAATCTTTGTTTGTACCATGCACATTCCGAGCTAAGCACCTCTGTATGGCCATATTTGATAATTCGCACGAAATCTAAATATGGAGTTCCCGTAAGGGTTGTGAGAGATGATTCCATGGGTAAGGTATGCACTTTTGTGTCCTTTGAGAAATAAGAGAACCCAATACCTCCATCTAGTGGCCTAGAGGAGAACTTCAAACGAAACCCTTTAGGCTTATAGGGTTCCGTATAGGCCCTATGGGGAACCCTATAGGTTCTATAGGGAACTCTATAGGTTCTATAGGGAACAATATAGGTCCCAAAATGAACCTTATAGGAACCTATAGGATTCCTTTATGTTCCTATAGAATTCCTATATACGAGGATCATTCGATAATTATTGGCAACACTGCAGCAGTGCAACGCTCCATATTGGACTTGGCAGGAAACAGCCTGTGTGTGAAAGAGTGAATCACGCTACATGCATCAGTCTGTTTTTGCAAGTATACGCTCATTGTTAGTGCTGCAACAGTGGTATGAAACATTAGTTGTCACGTGAAACCGCCCTTAGGCATGTTCAGTAGGTACGAGCAACGTTGCTTCATTAAAATCCAGGTTGATATATGAACCATCTATAGTTCCATATTCATTAAGAATGGCCAAAACATGATATGGTCTGGACGGCTTCCAAATACAGTCTCCCATATGTAATCTTTATTTGTACCATGCACATTCTGAGCTAAGCACCCCTGTATGGCCAAATGTGATAATTCACACGAAATCTGAATATGGAGTTCTCGTAAGGGATACATCATGCAATATAATAATTGTGAATGCTCAAAACTTGTTAACTGCACCAAATGACCAGAATTTAGATCAAAATATACTCCAGTGTGGTAACCGAGCAATAATCGAATTTGTAAAAAAAAAAAATTTATTACGCAATGAAGCCTTCTGTGAAGCCTATTCAGACAAAAAATGATCCATTTATAATCCAAATGCGAGATTTTCCGACAGAATTTTAGGGTGGATTTTTGAACAGAGCACTATCCGATAATGCAGCTTTATTTCAGAGAAAATGCATTACAAATCCTGTATATAAAGCAGCATTATCGGATAGTGCTCTGTTCAAAAATCCACTCTTAGTATTAACTAGCACAAAGAGCCGTTTATTTATTTCCATGAGTAAAATGAACAATCCATTTATGCAAGCAGTAGCTACGTGTAGCGCTCACTTGGAAATTTTCTCCAGAGATGTAAGGAACATTCCAGTGCCAAGATTGGACGAAAATACATTGGGGATCAATACTTCATTGATTCCATTTGAAACCTACATATAACATTCATAAATGAATTACCAGAGGATGTGATTACAAATGGAATCATAGGGCCGGAAAATGTTACACTTGATCTTATCACGTGAATTGGGTTATTTTTTTCCGGGAAGTTCGAAAACTGGAACATGACAGACGAAACAAAAATTGAGATGAAAATTTTTTTTTCTGAATCGGTCAAGAGGGTAGGCTAAAACCACCCAAGTTCGGACAATATAATAAACATTGTTTAAAAAAAAAACTTAGCATTAGCGAGTTCGCTTTCCGAAATGGTTATTCCAATCACGAGATGGACACTTTACTGAGCGAAGTACAAGCGGTGGTGATGAAGACTTTGGACGATTCCAAGATATTTGACTTGGGCCAATGTGATATCGCAAACAGGGGGAGTCCTACGAGAAACCGTAAGGAGAGAACATTACTTTTAAAACGTTTCGCACCTGACATTGTTGTTTTCTGCGCTCAATTCTTACCAGGAAAATGGGAGGACATGGAGTCTCGTTAGGTAAAATGCTCGTGCCTTAATCAGATTACTGTCTTACATTCGATGGGTCCGAACTTAGGAAATGTTTGAGAACCTTATGTTCGGACATACATCCATGCGTGTCAAATTCGCGTAAATATGATGCCCTCTATTGAGAGAAAATACGCCAAGAGTTGATGAAAGCTCAGTTGAGTCTTGCTTTTCATGCACCTAAGTTGTCTGAATAAATATCGACAGTCGCCCAAAGTGGAGTCATAAAATGGCCCTTTCCGCGCACGAGGTGGATGGAGTTTCAGGACTGTTCGAATGATTTCTCTCCCTTGACGTTATGAATACCGCTTTTTACGCCAGTTCTCATCGTAGTATTCTGCGTGGTATCGATTCTGATGCTACGATGTACGACAGTTGTACTATTCTACGATGTGTTGAATACTACGATGAGTACTGACATAAAAAGCAGTCCTTCTGTGGTAATTCCCTTGGATGCACATTTTTCATTTGGGTCATATTTTCGGAATTGTTTTTAAAGCAGAACGGGCAGGCACAGTTCAGTAAACAAGTATTTATATGCATGCCTAAAGGCCCATTCACATTGTCCTTCGGCGAGGCCTCGCCGCAGCCTCGCCGAAGGTGCGGCGTAGGTTCTCGTTCACATTATCCGGCGCTCACTTACGGAGAACCAATGGTAAACGTGAGCAGACAATGAGATTGCACCAATCTCAGTTCGATGCTGGAATGAAGATGGCAGCGTACGTGAGACGAGCGCTCTTACTCCTGCTCCTCTACAATTGCCCNCCATCTTCATTCCAGCATCGAACTGAGATTGGTGCAATCTCATTGTCTGCTCACGTTTACCATTGGTTCTCCGTAAGTGAGCGCCGGATAATGTGAACGAGAACCTACGCCGCACCTTCGGCGAGGCTGCGGCGAGGCCTCGCCGAAGGACAATGTGAATGGGCCTTTAGGCATGCATATAAATACTTGTTTACTGAACTGTGCCTGCCCGTTCTGCTTTAAAAACAATTCCGAAAATATGACCCAAATGAAAAATGTGCATCCAAGGGAATTACCACAGAAGGACTGCTTTTTATGTCAGTACTCATCGTAGTATTCAACACATCGTAGAATAGTACAACTGTCGTACATCGTAGCATCAGAATCGATACCACGCAGAATACTACGATGAGAACTGGCGTAAAAAGCGGTATTCATAACGTCAAGGGAGAGAAATCATTCGAACAGTCCTGAAACTCCATCCACCTCGTGCGCGGAAAGGGCCATTTTATGACTCCACTTTGGGCGACTGTCGATATTTATTCAGACAACTTAGGTGCATGAAACTTTCAGTAAACAAATTTTGTGGTGTTTCCAACGTAATATGAAAATATCACGAACCTAGATCATCCATAACGGATTTTATAAGGCATCAAACACGACGCGTTTTTTTTTTGCGCTACCCGGTATATGGCTCCCCTCTAAACTACTCCTAGAAGAATAAATCCTGGAAGTAGGATTTTCCCTTCTGAGTGCCTGCCAGCAGGTACCTATTTGCTTAGGTTTCAGCACTATGTCTCCATGATTCCCAGGAACGAAACAATTTTTATTTGGAAAAGTCCACCCCAAAATGTGCCCCCAGGCAACGCATCCCAAATGCAGTCTTTTTTTTGCTTGGAATCAACTTTTTAATAAGTACGGATGCCTCAAGTTTCAGTTTCTATGTCTCTCCGTTTTGTTAGTGCAAAAAAATCATGAAGATGTGCCACTCCAAAAGAAGCTACCTCAAGTCCGCATAATCAGAGCTTTTCGAGTACCAAGTTTGATCTTTCTATCTCATCTAGAACCCAGAATGAAAGTCAGTCGCTCACTCATTCGATCACAATCTCCCTATAATAGAATATTGAGAAGAGGTCCAATACTTTGAGAACGGGTTATCATTCCTTTGCATCACAATAAAGTGTTTCAAGCCCCATTGAGAATTTAAATCGAAGGTATCCGAACTGAGGTGAAAGGGTCCGAACTTAACTTTTTCCACATTTAAGTTCGGACATCACATTATAGGCAATATCAGAAGTCATAATGCTAGGAAGGACAACACCTTTGTAGCACTTATACCTCCTCGTGTCGTGCTCCCAGGAACAAAACATGAGGCTTCCAGATTGTACCGTTGAGATAGAACGAACGAATAAGGAAACCAGCTTAACTGTCGAACATTGGTACTTTTACCCTATGGAACCATTCAGCTAACCCCTCAGTTCGCCCCTTAACTACGCCACAGTCACAAATTACAAATGGAATCATAGGGCCAGAAAATGATACACTTGATCTTGTCACGAGTATTGGGTTCTTCTTTTTCCGGGAAGTTCAAAAACTGGAACATGACAGACGAAACGAAAATTGAGATGAATTTATATATTTTTTATTATTATTTATTATTATTATTATTATTTTTTTTTATCGAATTGGGCAAGAGGGTATGGAACACTTCAGCCAAACCCTTGCCTACTTCGAAGGCACAAGCACTCCCAACGAAGGACACCGTGAGGCACAGTCAACCTGTTTTATTAATCTTTTTTTCTCATTTGATTTCTGGAAAACAAGCCTTAATATCACCTTATGTAACAGAGGGAGAGAGACTCGCGCGTAAAGATTCTCTTCTTTCTTCCCCCGGCGGAGGATTCGTGCTATCACAACACAGGATCCGCCTTTCCTTCCGGCTGCCCTCGTATCATAAAGCTGTCTTTTTGCCATTTCAACCATCACTCGGGATGACGATGACGATGACGATGATGATCGCGATGACGATGAACATCACAACACTCATTCCTGTAGCATAGAAAAAGGCTATTGCTTCTTGTCCGAGAGAAAGGGGGCGAGAGGAACCTATATATGGCTGCTGTTGAGCATTTGGTCATCATTGGTCTCGCTTTACTCCTCGTGGCAGCTCGACGACGAAAGAATCCAGGGTATTCCGGTTTCTCGGTTAAATCATCACCTGTAAGTCTCTGGCGAATCGCTCGCTCGAACGCATAAATAACTTAACGGAGAATTCACACGAATAAAAAAAAAAGGCTCTCGAAACAGGAAGAAGCCCGTCGACGCATCTTTGAATCTTTGTACTTTGGATATGAGGAAAATAAACAACGAAACGAACAGACGGACGACAAACTCAGGAGGAATCCTTTTGGCACGCAGAGGAATGTTGCAAATAGGCAACAGACGAATTGAAAATAATAATAAAAACAACAAAACCGGTGGATCACACGCGTAGAAGAAGGAGATTCGGCGGAATGGATTGAGATCACCTGCCAGAAGAGGTTCCAAAAATTCACAGAGATATGACAGAGGAAGAATGATAGATTCCCCGAGCGGAACAGATCACACGGACGAATCCATGCGAATCTCGCATGGATTCCTCTTTCTCTGGGATCGAGGGGAAACGTCACACTGAGCTTGGGGGGAGTCGGGAGCCTTCGTTCTCTTTTTGGAAGCCTTTGGTAACCGATGGGATGCGAGTGCCCGGCGTAGCACCATCGACGCGTGTTCGAGGGAGAGAGGAGGTTCACGGCTTCGGCTCTCGGAGATCCCCGCCACCCGGTCAGCACGAACTCTCGAGCACGGGTCCGCGACTTCGCTGCGCCTGTCTCTGACGGTACAGCTGGAACTCCTCCCTCATCGCCCTCAGCCTCGCCTCTCGATCCTCGGGTCGAAGGGCCCCGTTGTCCCCTCGACCCTTCGGATCGGCCGGTGATCGAGACCGGATGTAGATCTCCGAGTCCGACAACCCTCGGTCTTCGAACGCCGTCCGTCCGCCGTCCGTCTCCGGGAGCTGGATGGAATCGAACTCGTAATGGTCGTCCACGCTGGCGTCCAGCTGCTGCTGAGGGGACAACAGGGGCGGCGGCGACGACGAGTCCATGCCCGAGTGCGACTGCGACGACGTCTGCTGCGACGACGTGTTCTTGCTACCGAAGCCACTCGAAGATGCTTCCCCGGTTTCCGTGAGACTATCCTCGATGCGAGGACGGAGATCCGGAGCACTGTTGCGTCTCTGAGGTCTCGACGGCGGCGGGAAACCCGGCGGAACCGGCACGACGCGTTTTGCCGGCCGCGTACCCGGCGGAGAACTGGTCGCCAGAGGGCGTTGAGATTCCGTCGTCACCGGGCGAGGTACGTTGGCGTAGAGTGGGGCTTCGCCCGCCGGAGGTATGTCGGGGATTCGAGGAGGCTGCAGATGTCGTCGCGGCCGCACTTCGATCGCGATCGGGTACGGGTACGCCACGTACGGGTACGGATACGGATACGGGTACTGGTAGATCGGCATCGTGAGGTGCCGGGGTGCCGGTACGGACGGAGGCGGAGGCGGGAAGAAGTGAGTCCCGGCTGGGTCGTGATGATGAACCTGCACCTGAACTTGATGGAACCGCGAAGACAACGGCGTGGTATCGCCCCAGTAGATCGGTCTGAGAGACGGGATCCGTCCCGGAAACAACCTCGAACGAGACGGGACCGTGCTCGGGAAAGACCTCTCGGCGGAACTCGGCTGCCTCACGGAGCTCAGGTCGCTCACTTCCATGCCTCGAGCCTTCCACCGCGGGGGCGGGGAACTGGTGCGGAATCGTCGTCCGTCCGGCGTGTAGATGGTGAAAGGCGGCGACGGGAACGGCGTGACGAGAAGCTCCCCGCCCGAGGTTTCCGACGCCTGCGAGTGACGGTAACCCCAGGTGGAATGCGGCCCCCCGACGTGGTACATCCCCGTCTCGACCGGCTCGTACGTGTGCCACGTCGGCGGCGGCGGCGAGCGCGGAATGAACCCCCCGTCGTCGCTGCTGCTCGTGCTGCCCCCGTCCGCGACGAACTTCCCGTCCCCGCCCCGTCCGATCCACGACGGCGGGCTCCGGACCTGCACCGAATAGTGCGGGTAGCGGTAGAACCGGTTGCGACGCTCCGTGCGCTTGCGGTGACGACGACGCCGGTGCTCCTCCTTGCTCTCGACTCCCAGGAATCCCGCGAGCGAACTCAGTCTACCTGCCATCTGCGTCATCACAACTGAAACTCGGCTGTCTCCAACTCTGCAACACGCGACATCGTCTCGGTCACCGTCCGGTCGTCCACTTCGATCTCGCGCTCGAGCCCGACGCAACGAGCACGAGCGCGAGACGCGAACGACGATGAGAAAATCAGACACGAATCATAAAGTTATGCAGAGGAGTGCTACCCAAGCCAAATGAATCATCAACGTTTCCTACTTCAGAATATCATGCCAGAATTGAATGCATCAAGCGCAGCTAATTTATTCATTCAGCATTCAGAATGAAATATGATAATGAGTTGATGATTCATGGCTATTTTTATGCAAATCTTTTTTTTTTTGTTCCGAGACTTGGCAAGAAAACACACTGCCTTCCAGAAGTCATGCAACAATCCTGCACGATCATGTTTCTCAGCACTTGGAGCTCAATTTCAAAGAATTTTCAGGAGACAAGAGTTGAAGGCAAGAGATAGTAAACTACCCAAGGATAATTTACTGTCTCTCGTCTTCAACACGCTACTGCTAACCCCATGGCCCGTGCCAACATTTATCCAAAATTTCCTCGGAATCCATCTGATTTGATCGTCAAACAATGCAGTTCCATTAGGCCTTCCAGAAGAAAGAGACATAAAAACGTAGGTTGCTTCAACTACTGCCACATATTTTGCAGTTGTACTGCATTTCACCAGCATTCAATATTATGGGTTTAAGCTGGAACCAATTCCTTAGTTTTTTTTTTCTCAATAGCAATATTGAAAGGAAATAGTACAAAGGACAAGAGGTAAAAGCTGGTTCCCAGTCGGAAAAAACGCCAGCCTATATTGAGTTGAGCCTCTCAGCTCGTTTTTCGACCACCCCTGGTTTTTGGAAGCGATGAAAAATGAGACAAATGATCCCTTGAAGGCTGGAGGCCTGTTCCGTTCCGCCAGTAAATATCGACCTACAAGCAATTTCCGTTAAAAATGAGTTCCTGAAAAAAAAAGAAAATTCGTTCTATCTCCTGCTTCATCACACAGCACACACCCATACACTCGCGTCCGACTCAATACGAGTGCGGTGCTAGAGTGAAGGAGACCAGGGATCTGAGTGAACCCACAACGGCGATGAAGGAAGAAAAAGCAGAATTTAACCACAGGTTAAACGAGTTACAAAACTGGAAGAGATGGATTCAGAGGCAAATTTCGGGAAATTATAGCAAAACTTTGGGTGCGACTAGCAGCTTTGCATCGATGAAACCTTTCTCGATCGATGCCACCAACAGTCGCCCGCTGAAAATGCTCCACGAAGTACCACCGACACGAGACCCTCGGAGCGCAGTGCATTTCTCTCGGAAAACGAACACGATGAGACCCACGGAAACGAAACCATGCTGCGTCTTTCCATGCACACAAGACCCCAAAGAAAACGTATAGACGGACGTGATCCCACGTACCAGTACAGGAGTAGGTATGAACAAAGTTCTCACTCTTCTTCCTCCTTTTCGAGTGCGAGCAGAAAGCAGAAGTGAAAGATCGGAAAAGAGTCAAGTGAAGGCAGCAGCGAAGGCACCGAGTGCCCCCCGCGAGCATAAGAAACCGCGAAAAACTCACTTGTTGAAAGGCACTGGGCTGGCGGGATGGCCTCCGTTGCGTGCGTCCGTCACCCGGCACGCCACCATGTTGTAAGCTGGAGAACAATCCACCGCATCATCGACGGTTCTCGCGGGAAGAGACGGGGAAACGGGGTCGGACCCGAACGAACCTTTCTCCTGCTGGCGGCGCTTCCGATGGTGGCAGATCCTCACGGCACAGATGGAAAGGATTATTGCTACGATGAAGAACAGCACCCCGCCCACGATCCCAGCAGTGATGGCCTTGCTCTTCAAGTTGGCTGCAAAAAAAAACAAAAACAATCACATCGTGAAACCGCACTCGATCGACACGACGACGGATAGGCAGCAAAAAGACGACTGACGAGGAACGAGGAAGGGAATCTCGGTGCTGGTCTGACTGGTGAGCGTGTGGGCCGTCACACGGAACGTGTACAACTGCCCGTTCAGAAACTCTTCCACTGCAAAACCATCCACAAAATTAAAATGCGGCCAGTCCCCTCCCCACCCCAACGATGATCCGTCGTGAAAGTCACCTCGAAACTGGGTGGCGCCCTGAATCTGTTCCGAGAGAGCTCTCCACGTGTCATCGTCCGTCCTGAGCTCCACGGTATAATAAGCGACGGCCACCAAGTGGTTGTCGAAGGGTGGCACCCACCGGAGCACCACGTGGTTGTTCTCGATCGCCGCCGTGACGTTCCTCGGCGCACCCGGACGAGGACCTACGAAACGAAACCCCCGGACAAAATTTCGAGCCACAGATCCCATCGTGCCGCATCTCCGCGGTGATCTCCGCGGTCGGCGACCGTTCGCGCCTCGACACGTAAATGAAAAAATTGGTCCATGCGGGAAGTACCTTGCGAGTTGATGACCGTGGGAATGTACGTGGCACCGGTGGCGTCAGTGGGCAACACAACTATGCTATAATCAATATCTGCAAAAACAAAATCGGGAAGAAGCGTGAACGCAATCGGGAGAGGCAACGGATTCCCAAATCCCGGACATGCATCGTGGATTTGCGCAGTGCTCCAAGTGAGCCGCAGCTCAGCTATCATCAATTTTCTCCACGAGGAAAAGAGTCCACCTCGCCAATTTCACTGGAACGGTGAAATCGGAGAGATGATCTTTTTTCCTCATCTCTTCAACATAATACATTTTCGTAGGTATCATCCGAGTTCCTTTCACGTTGAACATTAATTGGCCGATTCTCTTCGCACTAAGGATGCAAAGCAATCACGAAGAAAACTCAGGATATAACACCTGGAGAGAGTTCCACGACTTTTGCACGATCACTTGAAGCACTGGATTCATATCATCATGCAGTGCACAAATGACAAACACGGGCCGTGTGCACGAATAGAAAAACGTAAACTTAAGAAGCTGAATTTTTTTTCCATAAATAGACACGAAGAAGCACGAGCAGAGCCTTACTGGAATTGTTTCCTGGCGAAGGCTTTGGCAAGTGAGTGGGCAAGGTGTGGGTAACGGGAGGGTAAGTGGGCGGGGTGGGTCGCGTGGGACCTGAAGCAGCTGAGGATCGGGTCGAAACGGGGGGGGGAGAAACGGGATTCAAACGAACGAGAGTCAAAACACGAGTCATCATCGAGGCAATGATAGTGAGTCAGAAGACGGGAGACAGGTGACGAGAACTCACGCGGAGTGGTGCCCTCGACCATCTCGGAGATGAACCCGTGACCGAACTGATTGTTGGCAGAGACCTGAAATTCGTAGGAAGTGTTTGGTTCCAGGCCGTAAACGGTGTAGCGCAGCGCCTTCGACGGCTGCACCTCACTGGTGATCCACTTTGATATGTTGTCGGCCTTCCGGTACCTGCAAGAACCGCGACCGGTCACTCGAAGGTCGTAAAAAAAAATAATAGAGAGCGAGAGAGACGCCTCACCAGACGACGTATTGAAGGAACTCCTCGTCGCCCCCCGAGTAACCGGGGATCCAGGCGACTGTGGCCGAGAAGGGATTCACATCCACGCTGACGTTATGCGGCGCGTGCGGGGGCGTGTTGCGGACCACCAACTGGGTGGTCCTCACCACCCTCGTCACCTCGTTTCCCACCACGCACTCGTAGCACCCGTGGTCCTTGGGCTTGAGCAATCCGATCCTCAACTCCCCGTTCTCCAACCTCGCCCGACCCTCTCCGGGCATCGGTCTTCCATCACACTAACGGATGGATGTGCATCATCAGACTCCCTCCACTTAATCTCCATTTCTGTCTCGCGAACGACCGTGCAGGAGACGGCAACGATCACGGAAGGGCAAATGCTCCCGACGTTACCTCTTCGAAATTCAATAGAACTCGCTCATTCGACATGCCATAGTCGATTTATGCTTTAAAATATATTTATGACGTCTCCACGGCAACAGCAGGACATGACAGAAATTGCGTGAGCAAAGTCACGCATGGCAGCACATGGCCCGCATTCTGACTTTGCCTTTCGTTCGAGCACTTCCAGGTATTCACAATAATTACAAAATAATATTAAAAGCAAAGAGAGAGAGAAGAACTCACGCGTCGCCAGGTGGTGGTGGGGTTCGGTTCCCCAGCACCAAGGCAGTGCATGGTGACAGACCCGTCCACCTTCGCCTCGTATTGAGGCTTGGGTGCCACCTGGAAGGACGGCGGTTCCCTCACGAGCACCTGGATCAACGGAGAGTGACCCTTGGTCCCCATCACGTTGTAAGGGGTGCACCGGTATTCTCCCTGGTGGTCCACCTTCACCTACGAGAGACAGTTCCTCGCGTCAAAGCAGGGTGGGAAGAAAGCAGATGGAGAGGAGAGCAAAGGAACACCATTTTTCAAGATAAAAATGGCGGAGAGAGGAAACCGGGAAAGGGTCATTAAGGCCTGGTCACACAGTTTGTCATTCTAATGGCTCGGCCTCTCTGCCTCTACCGCACAGCATACCAAGTCCATCAGGCAATCATGCACGAAGCTTTTTAGATCCTCTTTTTATCCATGAGTCGGTATGGGGTGGAAGAAAAAAACGAGAAGAATGATCCAACCTGCTGAAAGAGGAGGGAACCGTTGTTGAGATCGATAACTTCAGGGTAGGCCTTCGGGTCGAACATGCGAGAGTCCTTGAGCCAGGAGACCCACTGGAGCGGCGGGTTGGCCTCCACGGGACAATGGATCATCCCCGACATCCGGAACGGCAGGTACTGGGGCGACTGAGCGAACAGCACTCGCGCACGGACTGGAACGAAAAGGACAAAATAGGGTTGTCACAAGTCGTACGCCAGACGACGATCGAGAAGTTAAATTTAGACGTTTTTTTTGGTTGACTCCGACACCCACGCAAGGGGATTGCCAGAGTCAGGTATCTGGCTATCGGAGTCATCTGAAAAACTGCCGTTCGACTGGAAAAAATACTTGTAAACTATTCAATATAAAACCAGTGATGTTACAAGTACCAACAAATTCAACCCAAGTGCAAGTTGTGTACTTTTTCAGACTCTCACTCAAGCGCGTCAAAGCTTCAAGACCCTAAATCTCTCCTTGAGTTAGAATACATAACGAAAGGATGCCCTGATGCAAGTGCCACCTAGACCGATGGTACCTCGAATGCCAGACTCAATTGATCCGCTCAATTCGACTCAATTCGAAGAAATGAAAGCGGTGTATATTTACAGTATACTGGGTATACGGGGGAAATGCTGAGGATCGAAGAGAACACACATCAGTATCGGTTCAAGCCATTCTGAAGTCAACTTGCAAATGTGCAAAAATGCAGGAAAAGTGCAAACTATTACATGAGTCGCTTTGAAACGAATATACTAATGACAACACACGACCCGCTACGATTCAAAATGAGACCCTTGTAGATTCTACATTACAGTAATACATTTTCCCGCGCCGAAACCTGGAAGCATTACCGACGCTTAGATCCCCCCCTGGGGGGGCCAACGGAAAGAGATTTTCCTCCTCGTCTCCTCTCCCTCCCCTTTCGATTCGACGGGGATTATGAGACGGGTGGAGATGAGGGGATGGATGACATTGCCAAACTCTCGCTCCCATATAGGGGCCCCGGAGTGTTGATGAAGGAGAGAGAAGCCATGATAGATGGCGTCCTCTCCGCCTTCTTTCCTTTTTTTTTTTTTCTTCATCTTCTTCTCCTTCCCTTTCTAATCTCGGCACGTTCTGGGGCTTCCGGACTGCGGATTGCAGTACCTTCCAACTCTCTTTAGAAGATATGGGAACACGCTTCGGATGGATTCAAGGCACATAGGTGTCTTGCCCTTCAAAAACTAAGATGACACGTCTGCATGAGAAGAACTTTCCGCATACGGGATGAGAGAAAGGATATTTCAAACTTCTGGAGACATTTTCGCCCATTGGGTAACGCTTTCAGACTACGAATCTTGAGCATTGACAGTTTCTGGCAAGGACAATTCCTTGACCTTGTTTTTAAAACACCAAACGGCGAAATACTTGCAATGCAAGGAGACTTGGTAGGTTGAAACCCCAACAGTGCCACCCTTCATTTTCGATTCACAACTGGCTCCTCCTCGCGCTGTCGTTCTCGAAAACAAGTATTTAGCTTCTCTTTCCCTCAAAGAATACATCCCCACAGCAATTGCTATCGACCCGAACGACGAAGCCATACACAGCAAAAAAATAATTACTGGGCATAGAGTCCGAATGAAGCTGAAAACAGAAATCCATCCGGCCTCCAGACTCGTGAATCACCCTGTTTCGGGTGGTCACCCTCATGGGTCACCCTTGAGGATTCATGCATCACCCTGTTAGGGTAGTCGGAGGTGGTGGAAACACATCAATTTTAGGGTGCTGTCTCTCTTCATTAAGCCTTCAACTCCAGGCCAGTTCCTTAACCGCTCCTGACAGCTTCCCCTTTCTCCCTCCCTCATCCCTTGAGACACATCTCGTCCAAAAAAGGAAAAAAAAGCCTGGTTCCAGAGCGAAGGATTCGACGACTAGACTAATGAAGCGAAAATATTTGCAAAGAAGGGGAAGGGAGGGGGAGGGGGGGGGGGGGGGAAAAAAAACGAAGAGTTTTTCCATCTTGTTCCATGGAAAGAAAAGAGGAGATCGATGGCCATTTTTCCTCGCCCCCTCCCCCGTCTCCTCCTTTTCACGGAAGCAGAGAAGGAGGTGAAAAGCGCGGTCGGTTCAACGATATCGACCTTCTTCCCCTTCCTCTTTTCACAACCCAATTCTCTCCTTTTCACGCTGCGTCTCTTTTCGAATCACTGATATTTCTTCCCATATCACATCAAGGCAACGTACGACTTAGTCTGAGAATCCCAATTTTCCAAGTCAAGGTAATTAAATTACTTAATGACAGAATTTACTGGGAGAAACTCATTCTGTACAACTGACCATTCTTTCGTTTATCCAGTGAGGCAACGGAAGGGAACGAAGCTGACAATCAATTTTAACAACTTCGCTTCTAATTTGAATAGAAAGCCAACTTTAACGGCTTCGTTTACACTTTGGCAACTAGAACTGAACTTTTGACTGAGGGAGCACTCGCCGACTTACGGGAACCAACAGAATGCAGGAAGAATGAACTGGAGGAAGAAAGGATAAACTCACATTCGACGTTGAGGTAGGCAGAAGCGGAGTCGCGACCTCCGATCCCATTGGTGACCTCGCACGTGTAGGCCCCGGCATCCTCGGCCGTCACCGGATGGATGACGAGGCTGCCATTCCGCGTGACCCGGTAGCGCGAGGCGAGCGCCTGGACCCGCTCCACGGGCGTCCCTTCTTGATACCATTGCACCGTGATGTTGGACGGTTGTCCCCGAGCCTCGCACGTCAGCTCGCTCGTGTTTCCCTCTGCCAGCGTCACGTTCCTTGGACCCGTCAGGATCCGCGCAGCTCCTGCAACCGTTCATCCATCCAGAAACTGCCCTTAGTTCTCATCCCTTCCATTCATCCCGGCTCTTCTTTATCCATTCCATCGTCCCACGCCTACTCTTATTTTTCATCCCTTCCATCCATACCAGGCCTCCCCTTATTTTTCATCTCCTCCATCCGTCCCAACCCTAACATGGTTTGACGATAGGCGAAACCCCAGTCAGAATCCTTCGTCCCCTCATTCGTTGGTTTGAAAAAATCGCGGTAGTTGGGATTTATGATTTCTTGGGATTTTGCGTCAAATTTAAACGAAATCTGACCTAAATCATCGGATTAGACTTGGATTCCCTTGCTTCCGCTCATAAGTGCAGGAAGAAAGGAAGATCCTTCCTGCGAATTTGGAGTCGGAGGTTATCATGGGCTTCATCCATTTTCTCCAATCCAATGCAGGATGTCCATTGCATTTAAATCGATCCATTTAAAAGTATCCGTTACAATCTGTCCATTACCGGAATCTCGCGTTTCAAAAGGACCCCATACATCACTCCAGGCATCACATTTACACCCGTTATACTTCTGCCCAAACGTAATACATTTATTACAGATGAGAAATGCACGTAAATGCAAGAAAAGCATCGCACATCCTGTCCACGAGTGGACCAAATGGAGACGAAAACCTCACCGGCCAACATGACCCTGGAAAGCGCCGAGGCGTGTGGATGCACGTCGTTCTTGGCCAGACACGTGTAGTCACCCAGGTCCTCGGCCCGGATATCCGAGATCCTCAGCTCCATCCCGTCATTGGCGATCCTCACCCGGGGCCGTCCCTGCCCCTGACTGCCAGTCTTTCCTCCCCCCTTCCCGATCCCCAGTCCCGGCACGTCCATCAGGCGTCCGGAATCCTTGAACCACTCGATTCTCGGAGGGGGATTCCCCTCAGCCACGCAACTCAGGATGAGGTCCTCACCCAGCTTCACGTAGTTTATCTCTCGCGGTGGGTCCAACAACCGGGGAGGCGCTGCAACCATATGCAACAGTCCCAACATAATTTGAAACAAATCTCCAGAATTGAACGTGGAATATTTTCATCATGTACTGAATAATGGTAAATAATTGTATTTCCTATATGAGAACGCGTTCACAGTGGAAATTTCCTGTGGCTTCTATCGAGGATTTTTAAAACGAATAACTACTGAGACATACATGAATAAGGAAATGAGTTAATAGAAGTAGATAGAAAGAATGAAAATACACATAAATACGCATATTAAATGCACCAATAGAAAGCGATACGCATTTTTGTTTGAGCCTACTCCTCTGTTTTCATCTATAAGGGCTGAAAAGATATCCCTTTTTACTTGGAAGGCATTTCTCTTATTGCAGGCTAACTCCTTACACAAACGAGAGCAGGAAAGAGCTTGCTTCTATTCGTCCGATGCCAGACGGACCAGTGCCAAGATTAATCGCCGCGACTGTCGACTCCATATCCTGGTATACCCCATGGAGAAAGCAATCAACGAGAGTTCATACGAGGCTGGTAAATAATACGAAGCTCTTTGCCTCTACGTGTGCGCCTCGCAACATCGGCAAGAGACAGAAATGAGAGACGAGCATGGTGTTTTCGATTGCTTAGCCGCCCATGAAGAAAGAGAATCTCGGAATAAATGGCTTCTTTCCGACCTATTACCCAAAGCTCTCTCCCTCATATCCTCATGCCATCCTGAGACTTTTCCACGATATCCTAATTATGAGCCGGGGGACTCATATTCCCCTAGGCGAGTCCGTCTCATCTCCTGCACTCCGAATGGGCCGATGGAAGGAGATGATGGGGGAAATGTGAGACTTTTGGCACGGAGGTCCGCTCCGTTTTGACACTCATCCAAGTGACTGGATGGAGCCTTGATGAGTCCCTTAAAGCGCCATCATAATGAATCCCGGGGTCGAATCGGATATTCCCTTCAAAGAAGCGGTAGGCTCTAACTGCTTCAAATCCAGTCCATTGATTACCCTCTTTCTTCAATTTAGTTTCTACTGCTAGGTGACGGAGTTCAAATGAAATCTGCTGTGACTGAATGGGATGATTACAGTCAAACCAATCGAAACGTTTTTTACTGGTTCTTCCTGTAAGTTGCTCAACAGAACCACGCCGTGCTTCTTTCAGGATTTGCTATCGAACCAAGTTCAGAGTGGGGAGCGATCACCGGTGTTTCCAGATGCGCCTTTTAGCAGTAAAAAATTGCAAAACTGTGTTGCGTTGGTAACAAACTCTACTAACCGGTCCATGCTGGTGCTGACGAGAAAATTATTCAATAAAAGATATACTCCCTTTCACATTTTAATCGCTGAGACTAACTTAAATGCGAGATCACAGTAACCGTAATAATTGTAACAACTTGAAAATTACAACAGCTAATTCACTGCAAAAAGTTGTTGTAACTGATTAGGAAGTTCAAGAGTGTAACAAGTTAACTATTTACCATTACCGCTTGAGAAAACGTGAGAAGAAGGATAAGGGGTGAAAAAAAAACAGCGAGAAAGCAGTGAGCTAGGAGGCATAGAAAGAAAAGAGGGAGAAATGGAAAGGAGGAACGCGCCTTGAATAATGCACACCCGCCCATCCACTACACTACACTACATACGGCTATTCTGTCTCTGTCTCTGTCTCTCCCTCCCCAGAGATTCTCTTTTTTCCCTCCCCCCCCCCCTTTCTTCCTCCTCTTTTTTCTCCCCGCTCTGTCTTGGTTGTCAGGCATCTCGCGTACACGATAAGGCGGAGTCTAATGATGAGCCAAGTACTCCTAATGGTATACACTGGGTGGCCCAATCCAGAACTGCATTTTTTCACTCCTATCGAGACGTGGGACATGGGAGGTGTGGACTCATTTGGCGATAAGCGCAGGGGATAAAACAGAGATTCGTTGTTAGGAAGAAAACACTGGGCAGTGCTTTCCAGGGAACCGGCTTACGATTACACACTGGCATAAACTTCAACACTATCCAATCACTGCTTTGTCTTCTGCGCTCAACACCATGTCACAGCTGTCTTACCGTCACCGAACTTCAACAAATGCCTTTTTTTTATTACTACTTTAAAAATAATTCCCCCCACTTTCCCTCACAAAAAAGCCCCATAGCCGCCAGGAAATCATCAATCGGAGGGCGCTGAGCCAGCAATGCCTGGGTAAACTTCGATTTTTGTGAAGTGTCCTAGCGGCTTAGAAGGAACCAAATCAATTTTGGGATCTGTATTTCAGAAAATTAAGTTTCACACACACAGTAAGAAAACAAGTTTTTCGGCCATGGAAACAAAAGGTCGCGAACTTCAAGGCGTTTGTTTTTGGTAATGAGCATTCCACTCATTTTCAATCGAATTTATTCATGAAAACAGGGATAAAGCTAGGAGAAAATTGCAGTTTGACGTAAGAAAAGACATTTCCTTTCTTGTAGGTCTTCCCGAGGAGCGGTCTTATCGCGATGCAAATCATGGAGCACCTCAAGTCATGGCATCAGTTCACTTGTTCAGATCTACCCGGATTTTTCTTCTTTTTTTCCCTTATGGGTCTGGGAGCATGGGCTAATGATTTTCACATTTAAGCATTTACCTGCAACATCCCCACATAGATGGTGGTCGTCTCATTTCAATCTCAAGAAAATATTCGCTCAACATTGAGTCAGTAGCATTCAGGCTTCTTCGTTTTCTTTTTCCCATACAAACTTTGTTATCAAACGGAATTCCTGTCTTTTATCTTTCTATTCTAAAGAAAGCAAGAGTCTCAGGATAATACTTTCTCTCACTATACTTGTTCCTTTTCCAATGCATCATTTATCACAGCTCTTCCCCGAAATGAAGACAGCGCGTCCTATTTGCAAATCTCATTATAGATGTCCATGGAAACTTGATGGAGATATATGTTAGAGATTACCACCCAACCGATTGATGATGTCTGCTCGTTTTCGTTCGATGTTGTCTCACCTCCTACGTGTCATAGCCCAGAAGAGGGCACCCAAGGCACCCAAATTTACACGTTTCAAAAGTAACCCAAACTCTTATGTTTATTTTAAATGAAAATTTTCGAAGCATTCTCTCTACTTGCAAACTCCCGATACCCCTTAGCCCATTCGATTTTCTCCTTTCCCTATTTCTTTGCAATGTAGAAAACCTTCCGAAGAGATTCTTCAGGCACTTGATTTTCCACTTCTTCAGACGAAAAGTACTACTGGGTAGAGCAAATAGAACGCGCCCTATTTGACGATCGTATTTTTTTTTTCGTATCACATGTGATAACAGTGAAAACACAAAAAATTGCTTCCTGAGTATTTAAAGTGATTAGGCAGTTGAGATTTAAAAAAAGTAACAGTTATTCCAACTTAAGCGAGAATATTGTGCTCTTCCACGCATTGGCTGGAGCGGTTTTCAGCATTGCTGGAACATCAACATAAGTCTGCTTTTTTATGGCTGCGTTCCTGGTTTAGTGTTCTTGACTGTGCAATACATTCCGGTCGCAGCTGAGAATGGATGGCCTCAATTTGATGGTGTGCTCGGAGGAGAACTGGAGAGGGAAAGAGGAAAGTCAAGAGTTTTCAATCGAATCATGGGCCATATTCTACGTGGTCTTTTCACCCTCTCCAGCCATTCTTTTAAAAACACACTTTTATCGCAGGTGTGTTTTCCTTTGTCGGCCTGCGACACGATGACATTGCGCAGCCAGGAGCACTGCAATAAGCATGCAGCTAAGAAAAACATAAGCTTTTTGACAAGAAATGAGAAAAACCAGCTGAGCATTGCTATAATTGCTGTAGCCCGATACGTAGACATGCTGAAATTTCTTAATGAAGTTTAAAAGATTGCTGTTCCATTCCCCAACAACCTGGAGACCTTGAGCTTCCAAGCAACGCATTTTCGAGCCCTTTCTCAAGGATATAAACAATTACAAATTCAAACTTTTTTACATTAAGTTTTAGAATGCGTCAATCACAACACCTTTTGCGTCACCCAACACATACATTTACTTCCTTTTGATTTCTTTGACTCCCAGCCTCATTCATCTTGGGTCAATGCTGCAGTATTCAATAAAAGATTTCACCGATTAGCCCACATGCTTTAGGTCGTCGCAATTTGAGAAGGAAAGACGGATGATTTACTCATATTTGCAGCAAATACCACCAGTTGACACAAGCTAAAATATTTTGCATTGCAAATTATAGATCCGATTACGAAGTTCAACGCCTATTAATATATGTTTAATTGAATCTAAGCTGATTTTATGCAGCCCTTTCGCTTTCCAAGTCTATTATTATTAGGACAGTATCGATGGCAGCCTTTGGCAGAAGGTCGGTTATGACCTCACACACATTGGCGTATACTGGTGCAGATGCCAAATTAGGCAAATAAAGGGGAGAAATCCAATAAATTAGTATCTCTGTGATATCAACTTTATTTACGTCGCATTAAGTAGGTTAGGCCACTGCGTCTCAGTACCGTTTTTTGCGCGTGGGTAAGACGGAGACACGCTTGAGGGTTTTTGGAAAACAAATGTAAGCTTGGCAAGATGCCAAATGCTATCATTTGAAGTAGTCACTGCGACAGAGAAAGGCACGAGCTCATCTGATACATATATTTTGCCGGAGGGAAGCAGGAAACGTATTATCTCAGCCAGAAATAATAAATTCGAGCCTTTATGCCTACGCCTTCTTCTAAAAGGAAGGGAACTCCCACACTGAACGCGATGCCAGCGTTCAATTCCACGTAGTAGGGAGGGAATTATGCATCAGCTCATGTAATGTATAAACCTCCGTTACCTGGATAACATTAGAGCCTAATTAGTCAGCGTTTTATTAGAAAATGACATGTCCGGCGGCAAGCCTGACGCCACCATTCGACTCTTGCCTTAGAGAGATTAACCCCATGTCATGTTGCACTTCGATTTTCGTGGAAGAGACCGGAAGCAACTGTTACTTTCCTAGGAAAAGAGACGAGGAAGTCCGGCCCCGGGCCACACGCAACCCCCCCACACGTTCCTCTATGGCCAATGGCGCAAATGATGCCAATTTGGGGACTGATTCCAGTTCTTGTCGATGCATCGATATAGCCCCAACTATTATAGTTCTTGCTTGCAACAAGAAAGCGTTTGTGAAATGTCACATTTCTCCCCAAGTGGTACCAAAGCATTTGCCCCCAGACTGATGACACACAATCTATGGGAAGTCTATCCACCTGTCAGAGCAGTGTCATGAGCGTCTCTTTCATCAGTCATCACGAAATATTTGGTGGAAAACTCCGTCGCCCCCTGAGCTCGCGTGGAAATATACAGTAGTTCCGTTTGGGGATTCTTATTTCTCATGGGTCCACTCACCGTGAACCTCGAGGCAGATGCGGGTTCCGTTGTTGCTCTTCTGCTCCGGGGAGCGGTCGAGGAAGAGTACCTTGCACCGATAGCACCCACGGTCCTCCACCACCACCCGACTCAGGTTCAACGAGGCGCGGCCGAACCGCGGGTCCGTAACACGGGACACCCGACCCTTGTACCCCTCTGACTCGTGTGGATCGTACCCGTCGTAGTGGATGTACACCGGTTCGTGCAACCCCTGGCGAAGGGATAAGTAAAAAGACAAGAGGGCTATGAGAGAAGAGATAAAAGGTGGATGTGAAGATCCCGTTTCTTCTATCCAAAGTTTTTCCTGATTGAAGAGATGATTGGGTGTGGAGATGAAGACACATGAAACGTGACTACTCCCACACATGTTATCGGTTTTCTTCATCTCTATTGAATGCGACAAGACTTTTTTTTTAATCAAAGAGGAGACAAAAGGCTGGTTCATTAAGAATGCAATCTCTCGCGGTGGGGAAGTTTTAACGGGCTTATTAATTCTCCATCCAAAGAGATATCTTTTTTTCCCTCTTCAGAGAAAAGGAATTGGCTTTCTCTCTTCCCCTAATCCCTGGCGATAATGGCTTCATCTTCATCTTCATCTTCATCTTCATCTCCATCTCCATCTCATCTCTATCTCTATCTCTATATCTATATTTATCTCTAGCTCCATCTCCATCACTACTCCATTTTCATCTTCATTTTCATCCACAGTTTGTTCCGCTTAGAGTATTGCGAGAATCAGACAAATATGACAACACATCCCCCTTGATATGAGAAGATTTAAACAAAATTACCCTCAATCTTGGTCAATCGGAAAGACTTCTCTTATTGGGATTCAATTCCATGAAATCATAAACCAAGTGAAGTCTAATCTAGAAAAAATATAAGTTTAAATAAATTAGTAGTACGACAACCGGTTAAAATAAATACAGAAATTGAAATTAACTCACGCGAATATACGAGTAAAACGAAATTGAACCTTTAAAAAAAAATCGTCAGGTCATTGCACAAACGGACAATTTCACTCAGGTCAACTTGCACACATTTCATCTGGAAGTAATCGCAACAAATCCACCCACCCTGGCCCTTCGGAACGTACCTCTTTCTCCCAGTTGATGATGTAAGGGACGGCTTCACCGTGGGGATAGTTGAGGGGGCAGTTGAGGACGACCGAGGAATTCACCACCGTCCTCACCTGCTCCCCTCCCTCCTCACACCATCCTACACACAGCAAAAACAAATCTAGATTATCAAGCATCATACAGAAATGTCATGCCCCTCTTAGCATAAGACAGGCAATATAAAATGGAGATATTGGAACGTGCCTTTCTACGCTAGGAATCCCGACGAAGTCAATAACAAGATTATAAATGAGACCTTCTTCATGGTCTTTTTACCTTGAACAGCATCAGCATGCAACCAAACGGGTAGAAGGCGACCAAGGCAAAAATGCATAAGCCGAAAAGAAATACGAGATTATAGGATATCCCTGAAAATCACTCGGAATCCGAACGATGCTTTTCCAAGCAATTTTACCTAAGCGATGGGATGGAACTTTGAGCACGTTCAATTTTCCTTCCAGGAGATACCTATAAATAGAACCAAGAGCCCCTGGAGAGAAACGTGCTGACGCGAGGAAATACGACGGCGAGGAAAATCAACCTGTCATTCCCTCTCATTTCCTCTTCCACATGTACACGATCTAAGGATCGATTTCAATTTTCTCCCCCATGCAAATGGCGAGGTATATAACCTCTTGTCCCATCTTCTCCGCGCTAGAACTTTGCGAAGACGACGATGCATCGAGAGGGAGGGGACGAGGCGGGGAAGGAGACACTTATCAGGAAGTGTTTCCGGCCGGGAAATGACGCTTGAGGGAAGGACAACAAAAGAGGGCCGGGAATCGGATCGTCGGGGAAAGTAGGGAAAAAAAAAGACAATCACGCCAGCATCGCTGTCCTTCCTCTTATCCCGGACGAGCAGACACAAGAAAGTCCAGAAGGCCAAGGACTAATTAGTAAGGACGGAAGGGTAATCACGAGAAGATTCTGCTTGTTTACGGTGGATTTTCATTCTTTCGGTTTTCCAGATACCAATCCTTAGATTATTCGGAATCTCTCCAAGGGAAGTACGGCAGCATAAAAGCCATCTTTCTCAGACTCCAGAATAGAACGCCTATGAATAGTAGGCGAAAAGAATGAGAAATGGTGCATGGATAGGGAATAGGGAAAAAAAAGGAATGTCCTCCATAATATACGTGTTCTGATGGATGAGATGTGAGCAATGGCAGAAAGCCGGTGTGACAGATGAACCTGGCCTAATGACCCTCACTTCCTTTCCCTTTTTGCTCTTTTTCAAACCTGTCCTTTAGAAACCTGACCTGCCCCTGAGGCCCGATCAAGGAAGGAAGGAAAGAGAGAAGAGAAAGATGAGACGAAGATGGAGGGAGAGACCTGCTCGGGCCAGGGGATCAATTACGAGAGACGTTTGACGTCACACCCGTAAAAGGGGGGGAAAAGGGAAGTCCCTTTCCTTGTCTTCTACTGTACAGTCCCTCTTTGTCTCTTTCTGGCCCTCTGGGGGAATACAACCTCTTCCAATCCCTCCCTCTTATTCCCTTCCCCTCAATTTGCTTCCTCCTTTTCCCTTTTGCAGAGAGCTCTCGGGCAGACGATTGACTTTCGATCAGTCCACGTGATTCCATACATTATATACGGGCGATATATCTTCACCAGACGGATGGATAGGGGGCATTTCGTGCCGAGGGAGGCATGCATGCATGATGGAATTTGCACGGAACCCGAGATGCCAATCAAGGGGAGAGACAGGGGCGGTCCACTCACCTGAGGGGGCGAGGAGCAGGAGGACGCAGACGAGAAGAAGGAGGAGGAGGTCATGTGACGTCGTCATCAAGGCCCTCCGTGGACGACGATCTGGAGGCCCGGCAGGTCGGCGCACAACCCACTTCCTCCCATACTCCCAGTCCCGGGCCGCCCTTGCTACTCCGGCTCTCCGACTCCGCTCTCCCACTCCTTCCTCCACCTGCGAAAGGATGTTCCAGGCGCGCCTGTGAAACTCAGGCTTTGCAGGGAAGGAGAGTCGCGCGGGAAAGACTACACGGCAGGCTGTCAATATTCCGCCCACTCTTCAACACGATTCTTTTTCTTCTTTTTTCAGGTTACCCAGATCCTTTGTGAAGAATATTCCTCCGCGAAATTTGCATTCCGGCACATTACTTTCTCATATCCACTTCCCATTTCAATTCACTCAAATTACCACCTCTTGTGCCAGCTAGTGGGTGTTATTTGTGCACACATCCCTGACGCAATTGAAACAAATTGGGGCAATTCCCGCAGCATTAAGATGCTCCATCGAGTTTTCCGTACTTACAAAAACGCTCTTCGACGGCTTCCCAGACGGCTGAGCTAAGGTTAAGTCAGCGCCGACAAAACCAGGAAGGGGGGTGATGAATATTCAATAAGACGCCTTGCTTCTTCCTTTCCCCAGGAGGACTGAAGGGGAGCAGATGAGAATGAAAGGCACTGTACTGTACCTCCTTCCCTCCAACCTCATTCGTAGCTCTGCAGGAGAGGGAGGGAGTGAGGGAAATCTCGTCACTGCAGTCTTAGCGACATGTCCAGACAGGTAAGAATAACAGGCAGATGGGGCGGACATGAAAAGCCACGTATGTTTGGGTCTGACGGGGAAGGGGAGAAAAGTAAACACCCCCGGGATTCATCCTCGCCTTCCATCGTATACAGATGTCTTCGTTTGTCTAAAAGATTTCCCATAAAGTCAACGTCTTAAGAAGTCTAGTTTCATTACTCCATCTCCCCCCGAAACAATAAGCGACAATTATATTTTTAATATCTCCATTCCCGACAGGGTGACCTATATGTTTCAGCGAAGGACACACTCCCACAGATGGCATATATTTCTTCATCTTCACCGGAAGAAGACCTTTTAATTATTATTTCTCGGAATTGGGGAACGGTGTCACATCATCTTTCCCTTCCCGTCCCCTCTCCTCCATTGATATTGATGATAATGAAGACGGAATCCCCGCATCCCTCAGGCCCTGGAAACGCCAACCAAGCCATTTATTGAAATTGATCACCTTCTTCCGCCGTGTAGCCTCCTCCCTCGAGAACACGAGCCCCAAGCCACATTCCACGACGAAATATCATATTGAAATCAAGAAAAACAAAATCTGCCGAACGGAAACGGCGAAAATATAAAGACAGTGCTCCGTTGCAAGGACGATGGAAGGGGAAGGAAGATGTATGAGAAAGAGGCAGTCATGCATCTCACAATGGCTCCCAGATCTATTGCCAAGAGAACAGAAGAGCAAAAAGCCTGTCCATCTTCCATCCTTCATTTTCTTTCTTCTCGGGGCAAGAAGACGCATAGAGAGAAAGAGGAGGAGGGTTTTGATTGATGAACCACTGTCCTTTCAGAATTAAATCTCGAATTATTGGTTTTATCGATCCAACTGGAGAAAGAGGAAGAGAAGCGGGAATGCATCAGGGTGGACTGCGATGAAGGGGATTTCACGGAGGAAAACTTTCCCCTTCCCCCTTCCCTTATTTCCTCCAAGACTCCCTGCTCGATTCAGAGCTAAAGATACGATATCTACGCCTCGGTCGCACGTAGATGTAGGTCTCCCAGGGGAAAATAAGCCAATTCCGAATTCATTTCCGGGATTAGATATCCCCTCCCCCATACGGTATCCGTGACGTTCATTACGCTACCGGCTGATGGGATGGTCTTCCTCGACACGCGACGGTACGAACTTCTACTACTCGGTGTTAAAAACTTTTAATCATTGCGTAGATGCTGGAGCATCAGAAAAACCTGACCGGAAAGGTCAACGGTTAAGAAAGTACACCACCTGTGCGGAAATTGGCAGCATCAATCTGCCAATTGTGTCTCCGTCTCGATGGGAGTGAGCACGCCAAGATCCACTCTTCCTCCATCAATTACATCGCTTTCTTTCTTTTCTTTCATTCCCTCTTTCTTTCTTATTTGAGGAAGGATCATATCTGTGGAGTGAATACCCGGTGCACACATCCCTTTTGTCAGGTTGAGATATATTGGGAGAGTTCTTATCCTCCGTCCCCTGGACTCCCCGCTGTGTCCGAGCTTCGTCCTCTATAAATTTGGAACAGGCCCTCCGTTTTTTTATATTCCTTGTGGAAAAAAGAAAAGGGACAAGAAAAGCTATCGACACTATAAGGCTGCAGTTCTCAACAAAGTGTGGGTGCCGTGAAAGCTGCTTCCTTCTTTCTTTTTTTTTTGCCTCGAACCTGCGTAGAGCTAGATAACTTTGAGGCCCAATTACTGATTTAATCCTCGGAAGTTCAAGTGGGGGGGGATGTTGCTTCAACTCATTATTATAACACACCTTTTCAGCATTAAGATGACTTTATTTTATGTATGCAATATTAATCAGCGTAAATTAGGTCGCAGGAGCCTATTTATGACGTCCTGACCCGAAGAAAAATTAATTGGATGCATTTTAAATTAATTAATTTAAAATTGCTGCTTTCATAGAAAATACAAGTTGAATGTCTAGAGCAAGTAAATTCATACCTATTTCCATTAAGGTTTAAGGAGTTAGTAGCTTTTCATCAGACTCGTTTAGTTTCTCTAGTATTAAGTTCAAATACCCATTTTTGTAAAACGTAGGAAGTAAATATAATGGAGAATGAGAGGCATTTAGATGGGTCATTTGATTTGAAAATTGTCCAGACTCCACAGGCAGGCATATTTTTTATGGTACACCATTCTTGTTTCTAGGCCTATTTGAAACTTGTATTCTGTCAGCTCTCTTTAGATGTAAGAAGGTGTAATAAAAAAATTGCAAGATTTTGATAGGCCTAAAAGTTTCTGTGCTCTCTATCTTAGAAAGTTAAACTGATCTACCTATAAGTTATGATATGCAATGTATGGCTAGGTTGCTTTGATATTCAATGATCCATTGGACTTGAGATGCTTGAAGTAGTATTGAATTACAATTCAATCCTTCAAGGAGTTTTGCTAACAAAGTTCCCTTTTTAGGACATGCTCCATTTTCCTGCGAATAGGATCACCATATTTTCTTGATCCTGGAATACAATCCTGTGGAGTCACTGTGGGAGTGTCTTGTGATATACTTGTAAGGTATCCAACTCCTTGAGAAGAGTGGAGTTTTAATTTTAAAATTTGGTAGTTACTCTAAAAATACCCAGCATCACAGCATCTTCGAATTTCTGCATGATTTGTCACAATTATATTTTAAATGCAATTTTTCAAAAGAAAGGAACCATCACTTACATAAGGATAGTCCAGTATAATGCAATTATTGGCCCACTCATCAAGCATTAGAGTAATGCAGATTTTCCTCTTGATATTGATGTGCAAAGTTATTATAATCTGAAGAGCTGAATAGGCAAACTGAAGTTAAAAGTAAATCCTTGCAGCTCTCCATTATCTATTTAAGTAATCCAGAAAGGCTCGCTGGATTCCATGACAGTACAGATCCCCAATATGCTCATAATAGAAGTGCAACAGCTGTACAATTTACTGTACTGTGTATATCACATCCATATTCAGGAATCACAATCAGGAATTATATATCTCTGGATTTGAGAATGTCATTATTAACTAACCCTCTTTTCTTAGTTTTGCAATTCTTAGTGACTGATGTTTAGAGAATATGAGTGTGGGGAGATGGAGCTACATGAGTGATCATCTGATGAATCTTGCTCTAATAGGATAATGTGGTTTCTTTGGTTGTGGTTCATGCTGACATTCTGGAAATATTAATGCGAGGAGTAATTGTTCTAAAATGGCTAAATGAATAAATCTCTTGTGTTAGAGAATTTTTTGGTAGGATTGCATTGCATGCGAATCTCTACGAAAGAAGGAGTCATTGCATAAGTCACGAAGAAAAAAACCTTACAAATCTACGTTTAATCCAGATAGATATTCACATTACCACATCGATTCTACGTATACTTTCCACGTTAACTCAACGTTTCCAGGTCGATATATCTAGGTATATTCAACGTCTATTCAACGTTGCTGTGCCACATGGGAATTTTATTGATCGATTTTTGAAGTCCTAGTTTTCATGGTTTCTAATTTTGGCCTGTTTTCTTGTCTACAAAGGTCCACTAAACTGCACGAGTGCAGCCAAGACCTCGCTGCGCAAAAGGGTGCCGTGGATAAATAAAAAAAAGGTTGAGAAATTAAATAAAAACAAAACTCACAGCTTCTCACGACGTTAGCATCCCCCGGAGTCAGGAACGTCTCTCAGGTCCTCTCAACAGCTGCAAATGAAAAGGTATATCCTGATTAACTTTTCAGACAGGAAAAAGCGGTGACGAAGTCTGTCGGTGAATATTTAAAAAGACCCCGCCGTTAAGCTCCCAAGACCCAGAGTGGATCAATTATAATGTGATTAGTTCTCTCGCTCGTTAGATGATTATAATCCCACCCCATAAATTGAGGCACGTGGCCTCTAAATTAAGGCCGAGTTCATTCCAAGAGATCGACGATCACCTTCGTGTTTAGTCTCCCCTGTCAAGAAATTATTAATAAAAAGGAGAATGAAGAGAGAAAACAGCAATTTGCTGAGAGGAAGCAAGAAGAGAAGCGAGGAAGGAGAATGCATAGTCTGTGCAAGGCAGGAAGGAAAAAAGTCACAGCATCCATCACGGAAGATGAAGATTCATTCCCATCCTTATCCTTTCTCTCTGAGGAGATGGGATGGTATAAAGAAAAAAACTCCCTATGGTCTCTCTTCATACATGGTTTCCCCGGATGTCTTCATTCATTCACTCATTCATTCGTGCCCATGCATGAAAGAGCAGAGGGAACCTCCTAGTTGAATTTCGGCCAAGCTTCTCTGCCAATTGTCAATCTTACAAGTACTTGAACAGAAACAGAACCCTCGTAGTCGGATCCCATCGGGAATTCCTGCCACTTAGTAGGATAGAAGCGTATTTATATCACATATGCTTATCTCATTCGCCATTCTACAGATGGGAATCCATCAAATGCTCTTATCCTTCTCGATGCATTCTTCATTATTCAGAATATTCCTAGAATTTCCGATCCTGTTGTCGTTCCCGAGAAATGCGAGTGCGCTCGACACCTGCCAACTTCTCCTTCCTCTCCCTCAATTTCCTCCACGAGAGATGATGAAATTTTTAGGCGCATTCCGAGTGGCAAAAGGTATTTATGGCTTTCCCTACCAGGCCTCAAAATGCTCGGAGCTCGAGTCGAGCCGAACGCCGTTCCCGTACTTTTACGAATTCTTTCAAAGTTTTGTGCTTCCAGAAGCGAGTGGTGGAAGGACACGACAAAAAGGAAAAAATGATTCACACCTCGAGCCTCGCCAGCAAGAGATGAACAGCTCACTCTCTCAAAGGACCAACAAAATGTTCAGCAATTTCAACTTCTGAACACAGAGAATCAATGCGAATCTTTGGCATTAGAGCAACAAGCACAGGTTAAATCATTAAAAAAATTTGCGCAATTCAGAACATATTGACATCTAGAGTCCAATTCATGAACTTATAGAGATATCAACCGGTCGGGATATGCTGGCGCCTAAAATATGGTTTTCGTAGATATAGGGGTTCTCTTCCTCAATACTAAGTGACTGGGACAGTTAATATGCACTGGGGATAGTAATCACAGAAATCATCATGACTACAGTGCCACATTATAGGAATCGAAAAAATTCAGATAATTTGCTATCATCTTACGCTAACCCTATAGACGTACAGGGACGAGGGAGAGAAGAAAAAAAAAAGAATCTCAGCGTGAAACAAGATATAAAGAAGAATAAAAAGGAAAGTGAAAGCAGGAAGCACTTTTTAAAACTTAACATTTCTGGATCGCTTTCACCGATTCGATACCGTTTTCTGCTAGGGTGAACAGATGAAAAAGCAAGGAAAGAAAAGGCAGACACAGTGGGGAGATTCTGTAATGAGGCTCATCCGATTCCGTAAAAAGCACTCCAATGGGAATTCGGGCATGACGTCATTATCGCTGCAGAATACCCACATGGTGATTTCCCCGAATGACGTCACAGGTGATATGCATAAAGTAATCTTCGATCGTGAAATGAACTCCTGTGTTTGTGCATGTATAAGGGCAGGGATATGTGAATTCCCTCGGGCTATCATCATGAAGGAGAGCGAAGAAAGGACGGAAAGAAAAGAGACTCAACGTATATCCTATTCACAAAGTAGACAACGGTCGTTCCATCATCGTAACGAAGTTTCTTTCCCGTTTATTTCCATCAACGAGACGAAGCTACGCTAAGGATCGTTAGACGATGGGAGAAACTTGAATCCTTCTTGTCAAATACCATTCTTGAAATGGTGACAATCAGGTCCACCTCTTTGCAGAACCCACTCAAATACCGCTTGCTCGTCCTCCGCTTCACGCACGCACGTCCGCTCCGCATGGCGTGAAGGTTGCTTGAATACCAGGGTCGCGACCTGAGGAGGATGTGCACGGCACGCCCGGCGACTTACCGGGCGTGCCGTGCTAGGTTCAGCGCCAGGGGCTGTTCCGTTCGGATTGTGTTCCGGGGATTTCCCAAATCCAGAATTTTCCATGTCCTGGTGACGGTGAGATCTGTTAACTGCAGCCGTGAATTTATCGCTGGTCAACCAGATATGTGACCTAACGGCGAACACGAAACGCTAACTTTAGCAAATGGGTACCATAAACGGAGCGAGGATAATAGAGCTTCCGGTTTTGATTGGAAAAGCTACGGTCGATGCGAGGGCTGCTTCGATGGGGCTCAGGTTGGAAGAGACGCTTTCTATTCCCCTGTTCTCCCCAAGTCGTTTAAGCGACGTTGCTGAGTTGATATGGAATGAGACACAAAGAGAATTTTACAGTACAGGTCTGTGGAACGTGACCAATCAGTCCATCTTGATCATCCATGGGCCATTTTAAACGTTGAAACTCCATAATCGAGGAATTCAAACGCCATTTAGGAACTCTGAGCGATGAATTGCCAAGATGACGGAACGGAGAGACCGTTAAAAACTACTATGTCAATAGTGTAATGCTAGCATTGATTTATTTCTCCCGTCTCTGTTCCCTCTCTTTTTTTCCTCACATGCATCTAAGAAGAATGTGGACTGGGCGAAATCGTGCATCTCAAATTAGCCTCTTAGCTGGGATATTACATGTCCCTCTTCTTGTTCTAACGGGGTTTTCTTCTCCATTTCCCTCCCGTTCCACCAAGCTTCGCCATTCACGCCATTCCGCCCCATTGCCAGAAACAATTCCCGCACAATAAACTCATAGAAAATCCTTTTTTCTTCCTCTAGCCCGTCTCCCGGCGAAACTAATTCCTTTCGGGCTTGTCCAAACACGGAATTAGGAGCATGGAAAGGAGCGGGAAAAAAAGAAAGAGAGAGAAAAGAGAGAAGGGGGAAAGGGGAGGGGCAATCAATTCTTCCACAATCCGTGCCGGGAATTCCTTCTTCGGCAGATTCCTTGGGGAATTCCTTGGGAATAGAGATGGCTTGCTTTTCATGGACCTGCAAACATTTCCTGCATGCGGCACAATTCTCTAAGGACTCAAAAACGTCAAACTCGACCTGGGCCTCCTCATACTTCTATACAGAGAAGTGCAATTACAAGTTAGAAAGGGGAGAAAGTTGAGGAAGGGGAAGACCGGTTTCGATTGCATGCCAAGGATCAACAATTCAAATATTCCATTTCTGATGGGGAAACATTTTGTCGCCTCTCCGGGGAGATAAAGGCAATAGGGAACGCAATTGTGCCTGATGTAATGCTTCTGTTGTCTCTGTATGTATAAAGGAGGAATAATCGATGGTCTAATATCGTCGTCGGCCCTTCCAGATGTTTCCTCTAATGGATTTCGAAGGAGTGAACGCTTCCCCGTTGTCTTGGCAACTCCGGGACTTGGGAAGTACGGCTTATATTGTCAGGAAAATCCATTATCCCTTCCTCTCTTGGCTTTTCCCTTTTCGTCTTTCTTTTTCCCTTCCATTATTCGCTTCAACAGGCCCTTTCATGGCAGGACCCCCCGAAAGTTGCTTCACCCGCACTCTCATCCAGCCGATCAAAGGAGTCCTTCCCATTTTCCTCCCCCCGCTGTCCCCCCCCCCCCCCCCCCCCCCCTCTTCCCCTGGGGGTATAATGAGTACAGTACATTCGTGCAGGCGTGAGGAAGGTGGCCCAACGCATCTATCAAGGACTACATGATTTCCATATCCCTGGTCGTCGTCAGGTGGGTGCGAATAGGGAATACTAATGGACATTTCGCAATTAGAGACTGAATTTGAAAGAATGAAAGCAAAGAAGCCTCTGCCATTGTGGCAGGGTGATGATTGTACTATAATATATAGCAGGGGATGAAGACGGAAGAGAGAATTTCCTTGAGTAGGCGAAGAAGGATAAGACGGGATAAAAAAAAAAGGGGGGGGAAGGACTCCTTTGATCGGCTGGATGAGAGTGCGGGTGAAGCAACTTTCGGGGGGTCCTGCCATGAAAGGGCCTGTTGAAGCGAATAATGGAAGGGAAAAAGAAAGACGACAAGGGAAAAGACGAACGCCAAGTAAGGATGAAGATGAGAGAAAAGAGTGGAGAGGGAAAAAGTAAGAGAGTCTCCTCCCCCCCATAGAAGATGAATTAGCCCTCGTGCCCCTGACACAAAAATCCATTCCCCCAATGAAGACACTCTCTGGGATGTAGTCTGCAGACTATATATACACACCCTGGCCTGGAGGTCCCTCGGGTTTGAGCGGGAATCTAGGGGGAAATCAATGAAAACCCCTAACAAAGGGAGGCGTGAAAGGGGAAGGAGAATACAGGTGGGAGGCAGATAATGAATGGCTTGATGGAGCCTCAATCGTTTCTAATTAAGGAGCCTGGAGACTGCGTACAGGTACAGAGGCCTTCGTCTTACAAGAGGGATTGTGATGGTATTAAATGGATGGAGGGAAGATATCGAACAAACACACAGGACTTGGCCCATTATCCAAGAACGGCAGTGTCTGCTTGTCTGTATGTCTGGTGGACCTGAAGACAACCGGTAGCCGATCGCCTTTTTCCTTTTATATCCTTCTCAGACCTTTCTCTTTCGCTTTCCCCTTCTTTCATAGCCCATTCTGTAATTGCCTATCATGAAAGAAAAAGCCTGTCCGCTCTAAAACCAGACGTCAACTCCCATATGTAAACAAAAGTAAAATAAATGGAAACTTCCTCGCTCCGTTACAGAATGAATCAGTCAGAAACTTGGAAAAAGTCCAGAAAAAGTTTTTTTTCGCGAATCTTCAAACGTGTATGGGGACTTTCAGCTTGTGATTCTGAATCACAAGGAATGCCCTGAAAACAACCTATTACGTGAAACAAGGATTAACATTCAACATCCACAACGTGAGCAAAGTTCATAGAAAATGTAAACCACCGAAAATAAAGGGAATATGAAAGTTTAACAGCCAAGTAACTAAACTCAAAATTTTAGAATAACGAAAGGAATTCTGGATGGATAATTGAAGGTATTATGCATTTTTTCTATGCTCTTTGGCAGCTTATACTTCACTTCGGATAGCATTCAGAGCTCGCCCACAATTTAAGGGCAGGCAAAGTAAAATGAAACTGTGTGCCATTTTTCCTATCAAACATGCTTAAAATCGTCAAGAAATGAAAACTTCGCTTCAATAGCTATCTTTACTTGAAGATGCCATCCATGGACGGAAAGAGGGTGAAAGATGAACGAGAGAAAGCCCTGGCATTCGAGGACAATCAGACGAGCAAGGACGAGGGATATCGGGGATGAGAAGATAGGGCAGGACGAAGAAGATGAAGGGGGAAAAAATGAGGGAAAGGGAGAAGAAAAAGAAATAAGATGGAGGAGAAAGGATTAGAAGCCCTGACAACATGGGAGACAAAGCCCGCGCGTGCAATTGTGGGCCGACCCCAGAAATCCCTTGATAAGGGAGTATATATGGGAGACAGGGGCGGGGAGACGGGGAAAGAAGAAAACGCAGAAAGGTCGGGTAGACATACGCATATCGTGCCGAGGGAGAAGGATATAAATGGTGGTGAGGGCAAAGGAGAACGGGTTGATCGTGACGAATAGTTCTCAGGTGACATGCCTTCTGTGCTCCCAAGTCCTGTCCCCTTAGAATGGAATATATCTGTCTCTGATCCCCCCCTATATCCCATCTATCAATTTCCATATTCTTCTTCCCCAATCCGAGATGACACGAGGATTTTAGCACCACTCATCCGTGTGGAACTTCGACGATTGTCACTTCAGAAAAGAACCAATGGAAAACCTACCTTTCCAGACTACAACTTTAAGGCATGGAGAACCGAGAACGAACTGATGGGCTTAAACTCGTAGGACGGGAATAAATACAATGTATCTGCGCAAGACAAAGGGGATTGGTGGAAGGAGATAAGGGGATATTTATACGCATCGTGGGTGGGAAAAGGGCAAGAATTACGAATGACCTTTGCATCCTGGCATGAATCTGACACATGTCAAGGAATTACAAGAAACTTTGGCCTTTCCCAAAGACGGAAAGCAAAGACGGCCTAGGAAAAAGCACGGGCTAAATAGGATTCTGGCTACGAAGCATATGAGAAAGGGCCTCTGAAGAAGAGAGTTACTATTTTGGGAGATGAAATCGAATGCTTTGATCCTTTCGAATGAAGAAGTCTTCCATAATAAACATTCAGATTACTATAACATACAACGCTCCATGTTTTCCCAGGAAATGACAGAGGCAAATGACATTTTGATGTATCAAAGGCCTCTTCAAGCTAGGAGAGCAATGAAAGCATTATTTTGAGGACGAGTAATGCCTCGAAACTCCGGAAATGGTTTCGGTTCCCGTAGAGCGAAAACATACAATGCAGGAAAATATCTTTTTAATGGAACTTTTCCATTTCTTCGCCCATCCCCCGCTTGCACTGTCAAATTCAAGTCGCAATTATGTCTCTTAGAATATCGTCATCATGCGATGGACTCTAAAAAGAACACCGGTAGCCCAGCACGAAACGTGAAGCTACACTAAGCAGAGCAAGAAGAATAGTACCAGTCTGATATAGACTGTATCTGGGCTTGGTCATAACCATTTGCCTTTAGCTAAATGTCAGGCTCGATATTCAATTCGGAATCTGAAACGTTAGACCAAGGCTAAAGCATTCATTTTACGGCTGACAATTTAAAGTGCATCGAAGTGGAGATGTGTTGTACCCGCACATGACGTTCGATTGCTCTTACAAGGAGGCTGTAAGATCTTCGAATGGCTGGTCGTTTTTTTCCCCGTTCTAATAGGAAGCTCCTCCATCTCTTCCTTGTTGGAAAGGGAAAAGATGAATGCGGTCATCTCCAAAGTGACTTCCCACTCCCCCACGCCGCGGAGAGAAAGAATATTTCCATTGCGGAGCAATGGCTTATGAAGGAAGGCTAATGAAGATTAACAATAACGTTGGGCCTCGTTAGAGCTGACACGAACTAGTTTCTTGGGCAGGCAGAACATATGTGTGGAGGCGCTAGGCCCACATAGAGGTGAATAAAATGTAGCTAGGACAGGACCAGGAACAATGTTCGGAATCACGC